CCCACAAAAGGGTGAGTGAACTTGGCATAGCCACTTCCTTCTCGAAATTTCACCCTGCCCACAAAAGGACAAAAGAGTGAGTGAGTGAGTGAGAGTGAGTGAAAGTGAGTGAGAGTGAGTGAGAGTGAGTGAGTGAGAGTGAGTGAGTGAGAGTGAGTGAGTGAGAGTGAGTGAGTGAGAGTGAGTGAGTGAGTGAGAGTGAGAGCGAGAGTGAGTTTGAAGCAGCGCATCCCCGTGTACAGACGAGGTATATCATTCGCGTGTACAGATGAGTCACTTTTCGCGTGTACAGACGAGGCGCCGGCCTCCTACCTGGATCCCTTCTTTTCTTCCTTCCCTTCCCTTCCCTTCGACGAGGTGACCAGGGACCAAGGGGACCAGGGGACCAAGGGGACCAGGACGACCATGTGGACCAGGAGCAAGCATACAAGAGACGGGAAAGGAAAATAGTTATTTTTTGATTAGTTAATTAATTTGTTGTTGATTACGTAAATAATTTTTTTTGATTCAGTAATTAATTTCTTTTTGATACACATGCCCCCACTAGCTCATATGTTGATTTCATGAGTTGAAACCACCAACGTTGGAGGCTGTACATGCTTGGGGGACCCCTGCGCGATGCTGGTCTCCAGCTGGTCTCTCTTCGACTTCAGGAGACCAGCCGGTCCTGGACTTCCGTCCTGAGCCCCTTGGGTGAACGGAGAAACGCGGTGGAAAACGGGGCGTCGGAGAGCGTCCTGGTGTCAAAGAACGGCCATGCAGTGTGTGTGTGTGGCTGTGGTTCCTGATGTTGTGATGACTCTTACTCTATAGACTCCGACTCTATAGACTCACCTGTGACGTGGCACCTTGATGTAGGCGTGTATCGTTTTGAAATCCGTTCAATGCAATCTCAATCGATCCAAGCACATTGATGTCAGGCATTGGGCATGACATGGCATGACTGCGTTTGACTCCTTTCAGTAGTCCAATTCAATCGGAAGGACGGGCTTTGTTTGTGTTTCTTTTCCTTTCTTTGGGGGTAAGATGGAGCCACTTGATGAATCAGCCCCACTGACCTGCCAGCCCATGTTCAAACCGACCGCAAGAGTCAGACAGTTGTGTTCACAGATGTCGTCCATGCTGTCAGACAGCGCTTGGGTGGTTTTTAAGGACGGACTCGCCGTCTTCGGATGCAGCAGCTGGGCGAAGAGAGATGAATCCATGGGATCGGCAAAAGACCTCCTACATCGACCTCTCAAATCACTCTATCGGTAAACAATGCTAGCTAAAGTCAACCTTTCAATGACGTCTCTCATCTCCAGTGCTTGTCGGAATTAGCTTGGCAGAAAGATTTGCAGGAAGTTGCCTCTTTACATGTCATACCTGGGATTGTTTGGGATTGAGTCGCTTTTTCCCGGCTCCAACTGCTTCTGTTGCGTTGGTTTGAGTGCCAGGGGAAGTGTCCCTACCTTTCTAAGGAGGCTGGACAGGAGCCCGAGAGGCACCGTTCTGGTGCTCCTCCACACTTCCCAGCCACAGGCTCTCTCAACGGACTCTAAACTCATTGGACCCCTAAATTTTCCCTAACTCTTCGAGCTTCCCCATCTCCAAAGACACCTGCCGAACCTCCTAGAAACCGCCCTGGGGGGCCCCACCGACCAAACCCCCCGCTGACACAACGCCCGAGTCTCCGGCGTCGCTGGGCTCGTCCCGTCCGAGGTCCGCCTGCTGGGCCACCAGGCCACCATCTCGGCCGTGCTTCTCCACGGTTCGGTGGCCGTCACAGGCGCTGTCGAACGGGGAAGAGAGGCATGGCATGGAGGGCTTTTTTGGGAGGGCTAATATTATAGAGAGAGAGAGGTCAAGATGGAGGAAACTAAATCTATATTGAAATCTCATATAAGTAACCTACTGCAGCTGCATATCACTTATATTGCATACATATACACATATAACATATATCAGTAATTTTGTATGATAACATATACTATAGAATGTCTTTGCGGTGCTCTTTGTGATTGGTTGGTTTCGGTCGATCAAGCATGATGCAAATCTCAATATCTCTCAACACTGCCAGAAGTACCGCACCACTTCTGTCCCACAAACATCCCTTTTGGACAGCGCCGGACGTATTCTTTGACGTCGAGCACGTCGACCCCGTGCGCCGAGCGGCCCACAGGCTCCCGCGATGCCACCTGCCGCATTTGGCACACCAGTGGCCCTTCGTCGGGGCGTCCGAAGCGGGTGCTCACCGGGCATCGGCGACGCTTGGCGGGGAAAAGCGGGGAAAAGCGGCGAGAGGGGTGATTGGGGGCGTTTGGAGTGCCTTTCGTGATGGCAACTTCTGGTAAGAAAAGACCTGGGAATTTTTGAGGCATTGTAGTTTTGTTTAAAGTTTTAGAGCATCTTTCCAACATGAAAGTACATTTGGATTGCCTGGCGCAGGCTGGCCAGCCAGGTGCTGCTAGTAAGTGCTTAGCTGAAGATGTGCATTGGGTGGTTTGAGTGGAGGTCTGAGGGACCCCCCGGACATACGACAGGTGTGCCAGTGAGGGATTGCAAGTGCCAGCCAGGTGACTCATGAAACGACGATTCCCCCATGGCCGTGCACTTCCTTTTGGCAGAATTTCTCAGGAATATCATGTGCACTATCATGTGCAATCACTCCGCTTTGCACAGATTCTCTGGTGTGTACCTTTTTCCATTGTGACATTGCCAAAGATGCCACACATCAACGCATCGTTCCTCACAAATACACGCGTACTCACCCATCACCACCCCCCCAACTACTGCTGAATATTATTGGTTGATCTACCTGGGGAGCATGGCTTCAGATGAACAGATCTCCCATCCAGCCCAGTGAAATGGTGCATTTTATGGATCTTCGGTGCGCCCTATCCAACTTGGCTCTTGGTGCGCCCTATCCAACCCAACAGGGAGTGCAGCCTCGCTCCCCAGAAACCTTTTGGGATTTTTTACAAACTTCGCTACCTTCTCTCCAATCATGGAAGGTGAACGTCCTGGCCCTCGGAAAGGCCATTCTCCTACAAACAGGGGAGTGCTTGGACCCTCAAAACCTACATCAGAGTGTCTCCAATCACCTTCTGAGAAGGTACGACTGGATCCCTAGGGCTTGGCTAGCAACCGTCCGAACCGAATCGCTGAGGACGACTCACTTCTCTTTCCATGCACCGCAACTTGCAGCTCTTGGTCACGGGCTCCGCCGATGGCACCGCACGGCTCTGGAACGCGGAGCCGCTCGCGCTGGCTGACTTCGACCGACCCTTTTGCAGCGGATCGCAAAACCGGGGTGGACCTGGGGGACGCCCGACTCCCTAAACAAGAACAGGACGCCAAACCAAAGCATCATGCAAACCCGAAACAAACCATAGCCATTAATGGCGCCGATGAGTACTGCGGAAGGAGCCGAGCCTGGCGGACCGCTCTCGGGAAGGTTTTTCAACCGGGGGTAGGGAGCTGTCCGTTCTTCGACGTTGATCCTGCAATCCATGTCGAGGCAAAGTCCGGCAAACTCAGTGAGTAGAAGAGTGGACCCACATGGTTTTTGTTTTACAACATTGGGCAGTTCATAGATTCTTTAGCAGTGAGTGCTTTTTGGTAGGGACTCACCATCCATTTTGGTTGTTTTCTGGGACATGTGTTTAACAAGACGGCCCAACCCTACGAGGCCTACCAGAGAACTACTTGGCATATAGCAAGCACGGTCAAGAGCTGGGTGTTCCCTTTGGTGTGGTTGGTTTTCGGATGTTTTCGGGGCATGCTCTTCAACTGCAGCCTACCTCTCTGAGTATTCTAGGGATCCATTCGTACCTTCTCAGAAGGTGATTGAAGACACTCTGATGTCGGCTTGGAGGGCCCAGTCGTTCCTTCTGAGAAGGTACGACTGGATCCCTAGGGAGTAGTCCATTCTCAGATCTATTGGGAAAATCGGGTCCCTGAAGTCGCTCCACCTTCACGGAAGCGCCGCTTCTCCGGGGGCGTCCGCGCGCGGGGACGTGGGTGCTGAAGGTCGGGTGATCTACTGCACGTGTTGACCATCGCGGAGCCATCTTCAGGCTGCCCGAACCCCCATCCCCCCCCGGACCCGACCGGAACGCTGCACGATCGCAACTGCCGGAACGGCGCATGACCCTCGACCTGTGTTTTGGGACGGTCTTTCGGGTGTCCAATGGTTCTTAGTTCCGGGAATCCGGTGAAACATGATCCACGCGTCACGCCAATCCGTTGGATTTCTTTGTTTTGTGTGTTTTGGCCAATGGAGCCATGTGTTGTTTCTGGTGGGGACAGTAAGAGTTGTTTAGCCTTTGTAGCCTAAGATCAGTTGCTTTTGACCTTGGTCTTTGGATCGCTCCAATAGGGAAATGGACACCACATATACTCATATACTAATTGAAGGTTTTTTTGACACCACATATAATATACTAACTAATTGACATATGTTTTTTGCACTGACCAATGTTCATGATCTTAGAATTTTCAGACACCCAAATGTGATCATGAGAGATCATCGGAATCTGTTTCTCGGAGCTGAACCCTCATGCGATCGCCCCGGTGCGATCGAGGGATCTGTGATCCGTCACCTTTGGTTCGAGTTGGAAGGCATTCTGAGCATTCTGTGCCATGCAATCCTCTACCCTGTCGTTTTTGGGGGGATTAGGGGCACCCCACTAAGCAAGGAGAGGTGGGAAAGGGTTAATGTTCTTGATTTTTCAGGGACACTACGCGAGGCAGATCCCTACTTTTAGGTGTTGCAGGACCATGTTGGTACACTTCCATGGAACATCTACAAGGGCCGCACACTTGTTACTCAAACGGCCGCACACTTCAGTCCAAAAAAATGGCTTCATGTGCTTTCTTGTTGCGAACAAAAAACACTACAAAAGTGCACCAAAAAAGACACGAGAGACTGGAAAAGGGCCATAAGAGAGAGAGAGAGAGAGAGAGACAGAGAGACACCTTCGTGAGCTTGGATCTGTTTTTTCTGTTTGCCGGTGCTCTCCAGAAGGGCCCAAGGATGGCCCAGGAGGGGAATCCTAAGACGATCCCTTCTGGTTGGCGGGTCCAAGGTCCAGAGGTGCATTCGTTGTTTCAGGATGTTTCAGTTGAATCAACCAATCATGTCCAATGTTGGCCATTTGCAGGTCAATGTTGGCCCTGGTCTGATCAAGTGCCTTGGCAAACTGGTATTCTGAGGAACCGCATGGTAGCTGCTTCTCTTGAAACATGGGCTCAGGCTGAAGTTGAACCGATTTTGACAGCTTTGCGGGCCTTTGGAGCATTCTCATGTCTCAAGCTGCTAGCTGCTAGATGTTTTTTTCACACGCAAAGCTCGCAGAGTATATAGAGCCCCATGGGTGTCATGCCTGTCATGTCGAAGACTTCAGCTTAGCTCCCTTTTGCTGCGGCACAGCTGGTCCCTTTCCACAGCTTAGGTACGAACTCAGGAGTCATGGCTCAAACAGGTCAGACAAGTGCCATTCACCAAGAAAGTATTATATAACGATGGTGGATCTCCTAGAGATTCTCAAATCATCCATTGACTTCTTTATATACATTTATTATAGATCTTTACTATACAGTATGCAGTCCCCATCAGTCCCCCTTTTGGACAGGATGCTAACGACCAGACTTGAGGGTGGGTGGTAAGCCATGGCCTCTCGCCCGCGAGGAAACACCGCGCATAACGCTGGATGACACGAGCAGCAGCAGCGGTGATGAAAAGACCCGCGGTGGGTGCGACCACGGTGGCGACAAAGGCCAAGGCGACAGCCATGAAGACATCGACTGCCATGAAGGCATCTCCTGCAAGGAAGGCGCCCTGTGCCATGAAAGTCACTGCCATGAAGACTTCTGCCATGAAGGTTTCAGCCATGAAGGTGACTGCTATGAAGACAACGGTAATGAAGGCAACAGCAAAGAAGGGTTCGGCAATGAAAGGCACTGCTCTGAAGAAGCCTCCAGTGAAGAAGAAACTGACCACCACAAAAGCTGTTCGAAGAAAGCCAGCAGTGAAAAAGGTCCCTGCGAAGAAGAAGAGGCCTCCTGCCCCTTGGCTGCCAGTTGCTTTAGCCTGAAGATCCGTGCAGAGTGGATGGCACTCATTTTGTTATAGTGTCTCCATGTTCCTCCCCATAGTGGTTGGCTGCTGTATGCTAGTGCTATTTGCTTTCTTGTTAGCACCGTCAGCTTTGCCCAGTACCACATGTACTCAACAAGCTGCACACGGCCATACCGAAAGCCTTCGCATTGGCCTATTTTCCATCAGGGTCATTTTGGAGTCAACTGTTTGTTTTGGAGTCAACTGCTTGTGCTGGAATGGGAAGCGTATTCATTCCCAACAGTTTTCTGCACTATTGAAGGGGCTTAGACAGACAAGTTTGTCATACTTTCAGATGAGATACATTATATGATTAGTACAATGATACTAGGTCCTAGAAATACAATGTCTCACAGTGTCAATCTCAATGTCTCACAGTGCTTCCCGAAGATCCGCATCCCGACATGCGCCTCCAAATGTCGCGGAGCCACCTACACCTAAAAGCATGCGCATTCTGTCCGCACCTTTTTCTCACCACGGATCCACCAAACCGTCGAAAATGGGTCATGACCCGAACCAAAATTACACCAGCATAGACCCAGATAGCTAGGCAGAAGTAAGAACCCCATAGCTTCGCTATCTGGGGAAATAGGTACTTGTACCAATTGTACGATCTTGTATCCATGTTCTGAGGCTAACTCCAACTCGGGTCGACTCTGGACAGCTTAACTCGGTCCCTCAGGCGTGGAGGGATGCGATCGAAGGCTTGGTGAAGACCAAACGCTGCAAGGACTTCCTTCGCTATGCCCACCGCATAGAGGAGTGGATCGAGCAGCTACATGTCTCGTATTCGGAAGCGTCGACCGAACGAAGGTGGCACTTAGGGAGGTGGAATCAGCACCTCTGACGTACAGAAGTGGAAATGGATGGCATGGGCCGCTGAAGAAGACCAACCACCTCGGGAAACAGGTAGTTTTCCGGTTCCATGTTAGTGAATGGACGAGTACCCTACCTGAAATGCATGGTAATTACGTGCATGGCATTGCCCCGATTTCGGACGAACATGAAATACATCCATTATGTTGCTTCAATTATTATTACTACCCCAGACACTCCATGGGACTGCCATATATGCCTACATTGACCCCCAAAACCACCCCAATGTAAGCATATATGGCTACTGTATTATGTTTGTTTATTGTTATTTTGGGGGCTATACACCCACCCGAACCACTGCAACAGGTAGGCCAGGAGCCCTATAGGCACATGGATCATATATGATCATATGATACATGTGGCATAGTTGGAAGTGAATAGAACGGTTCTATAGAAAACATGCCAATTCGCATAGTGTTTGAAGTTTGCGATTATGGCATATATATATATATATATGATCATACCAAGTATCATACGATATCATACGAAGTTGGGCAGGTTCCTCCGAGATGTCGATTCGATCCGACTCTTTGATGAAGTCCATGTCCGATCGATCAACGGTTCCTATCCAGTGGAAGTCTTGTTGAATTCAGACGGACCTACGGCTCATCGGTTGAATTTCTTCTTTTCAAAGGGAACTACGGCGCACCCCTGAGGGTCCTGAGGGTGTCGGTGTCAGATAGCCTTTCCACCTGAAGAGGACCACTGACCATTTTGCCAGCAGCTTTTTGGTTTGTTCATCCCCCTTGAATGAGGAGCTTGTTATAAGGGAACAGGATCGACACCTTATAGTGTCTCATTCTAGGAAATTCTAGGAGGATGTTTGTTCTGAGATGTTCTGGTGGCATTTGGGTGCCAAGCTTTTGGAGACTGTTCACAGGGTCATGTCAGCTCTCCTTTCGATAGTTGGGACTCTCAAACTCCTGTCCCAAAAACGGTACTCCTATTGTTACAGGCCCTGTGAAAATGCTTTCCTGTTTGAAAACACCTTTTCTTGGATGAAGAGCCTTGGGTTCAACAGCTTGAAGATGAACCCACCAAGAAACAACAGAAACAGCACTTGGCTTGTTTCAGTGCTGTTTCAGTCAGTGCCTTTTCACACAGGACATCAACGAGGTGGCTCTTCGGTATCCTGGCTGGCTCGGGGCGTTGGCTCGCAATCAGATGGGGGGTGCACCCAGCAGTTCGGAAAAGCTGCATGTCCTTTTGGAGCTGGGTTTGGATCCGGACACGGAGGACCTTCTGCTGGAAGCTTGGATCCGGCCTCACACAGGCCGCGCACTGTGTTTGGGCACCCCCCTGCGCTTAGGCCAGGATCATTGAGAAGGAGGGGTGTCCAAGGGAAGCTTACAGTGGTTTTCAGACTAATTAGATGGCACTGGCACTGGCACCCCAAGATGTTTGCTAGATCAGCCACCCTCTTGGGGTTGTGTCATCTCCACTCAATCCACTAACACATACTGTAAGTGGTTTGGGTCTAGCCAGGTGACGCGTTGTGGTCCTGGTATGTCGTGTGATGGTGTAGGTTTGTGGCTTTGCAGATTTTTGTGGACTGTTCTGCAGCGGCTTGAAGAGGTGGCTAAGGCTTTGTAACTCAATGACGAGATAGGCTAAGAGATCCATCCAAGGAATCCATCCTACGGATGTTCTGTTCGCTTCAGTGATTTGTAGCCTGAGGGGTAACAAATCCGAGGAATCCATCTACGGACCTGGGAACAGCTTTGAGCTTCTCCTGGACTATGGTGCAGATCCCCTGGGTCGCAACCCACAGACTCTCGGCGGCAAGACGCTTTAAGGCGCCGCGGATCCGGTCGGCTGGGCGGATCGTGGTCGGATTGGTGCAGATTGGGGGGGGAGGCCTGCAACAGCTATGGACTCACCCATGACCCACCCTATCACGCGGAACCTGATTGACCAAAGCTTTGTCCTCACACGTTCCTTTTTCTTTTTGAGGCCTGTGGAGCCGTTTCACGACGTTGCACGACGTTTGCGAAGCATGCGGATTAGGGCTCCTCTTTGAGTGCGTGGGCACGTAGAAACCACATGTGTTGTATAGAAAAACCAAGCGAAATCCGTGGGCCGAAGTGCCATCTGTGGGCCGAAGTGCCCTCCACTTAGGAGTCCCGTAAGATGTTGATGAAACCTTGGCTTTCACAACTAAAAAGGCACTATATCCCAACTTTTGCTCTTGGTCGTTCTTCGTTCCGCGATCGAGTCCTGTCCGATCCGCTTTCATCGAGGAAGTCCTATATGGGCTGCCCCTTTTGCGTAGCAGCCCATGAGGAAAACGACGGGAGAGTCTATCAAGTGAGTCGCCTCAAGGACTGAAAAACACTTGGTGTTTCAGTCTGAAGGATGGTTTACTTGCAACAACTTTCAAGGGTGAATGCACTGAAAAGCATAGCACACTCCACAAAAGGACAAGAATGGCCCTGGAAGACAAGTATCCTTTACGTCCGGTTCTTTCAGCCGACTGACGTCCACCGAAATCGAACTTGAGGTCAGGCCAGCCATAGCAACTCTCCTTGAAGACCTTGGTTGGCTCCCGGGTGTTCAGGATCCAACCCAACGTTACAAGCTTTTCTCGGTGATGGTTTCGGATAGTTTTATTTTCAACCCTTCCGTGGGGATGATTGGGCCCTCTCACTCATATTTTTCAAGTGGGTTGAAAACACCAACCAGTTTTGTTGGTGGTCTACCAGGTCCTGTTTGTAGATTGTAGTGGTTTGACGCATACTTGACATACTTAGCTTTGTTCTCCGCCGCTCGAAACAGCCATTGTGCTGACCCTACTGAAAGATTTTCTTTCGGGACCTAACTAAGACCGTCAGGAAATCAGACATCCACTTCGTCAGACTTCGTCAGATATATCGATGGTTTTATGGTTTCTTTCTTTCCGCGTTTCTTTTCTTTAAAGGAACCGTTCCAAGTGTGTCACGGACATCGGGGAGGCTTCCCAAGGCGGAATCGGAACAAACAAGGACGCCAGCTCTCCAGGAGTTGCTCATTCACGGCTTGGGGTATCAATCTGGTAAACAAGAGAAACATTAACGCCACATATGTTTACATAATTTCAAATATATATATATATACCTGTGACCTGGATGTCCTCTGAAATGGAATGCCTTTCTAAAAAGGCAGGATTTCATCTTAAAAACCTGTCTTTTTCGAAAAGGGCCGTACTTTTGAAGTAGGTCCCACTTGACCGGGTGCTCACTCCAGAAAGGTGTCAATGAATCCTGCAAGGTGGCCGCCGATGTTTAGCATCCATGGCTTGGAAGCATGTTTAGGCCATCAATCTGAGATCCATTCGAGATGACTCAACCAGGGCAATGAACAATAGGGTTTTGCCCACTTCACTTGATGCTTCTGGCATCCCTACAGGCCAAATAGAACCCAAGTTGGTGATTTCCAGCGCTCCCGCTCTTTTTGCCCACATGGCAAGCATGTGGGGCGCAGTCCAAGCCCGATGTCCGGGCCTTGGTGGAGATGGGGCCAGGATGACTTGGGTCAGCTCGGACAATTTTTTTTGGCTAGCAAACATTGCCCTATGAGGCCCTATGAATTGCTTTGTTGGACACCATGCAATCATTGTTAGCAAAAGCTTACTCAGGACACATGTTTGAGTCTGGTACGTCCTGCCCTCTAGATTGTAGTAGAACCAGAATGTTGAGCAGTGTGGTCTTCCTTGATTTCCTGCTTCGCCCCAATGTTCATCAGGATTGAGATTTGCTTGGCCCTCACCTCTCACATTCTTTCGCAGCGATTTTGACCAGTGTTTGAACGCTATCCTCCTGCCCTCTTTGCTGTCATGGCCGCCAATGCCAGCATTGCCGGGCTGGCTGTCTATTGGGAAGGGTGCCGTGAGATCAGGGAGCGTATTCGGGACAAAAGGATGTTGTTTCTCGATGAGGTTGGGGGCAAGAAGTTGGATGTCAACATCCGTGGTGCAGAAAGTCATGTTGACGTGCTTGTTCCTTTGCTTCAGAAGCTGGTGGACCCAGCAACTCTAGCCATTGGCATGTGCGCCATTCCGCAGCTGGAAACAGAGCAGCTCAATTCAATTTGAGTTGCGATTGGGAAATAAAACTTGTTTGGAGCAAACCTCCCCAGAAAGATACGTTGGGACTGTGGCATGCAAATGTTCTTTAGCCCCCCTTATAATATCGATTTCTTGCTTGTATAGCTGGATGTGTGCAGCATGCATGCACTTATGTAGTGTACATACATGACTGCTATGTTTCTAGGTCACACTGTTCCCTTTGATGGCTGCCCGCCATCTCCCATCAATCCAACAAACTCAGGATCAAGCACTTGTTCAATCTGGTGGGCGTCGAAGCTGGCCGAGACCAGGTGAAGCTGGATGCATGGCTTTGCAAAAAGTTTTGTGTACTGGTGAAGAGAAAGTGCACACGCGGCCAGCTGACCCGTTCTCGAAATTTCCGGCGCTTGATCGCAGTTCTGACTGGGCAGGACTGGAGTCCAATTTGCCGTGGTGAGATTTGTCCATAGGGACTTGCTGTATTTTTTTGAGAAAGGGGCTGTTTTCTTCATGCTTTCCAGCAAACTATTGGTATCAGGTGAAATCGAAAATGCCCTTTCCTGACCCACTGGCCAGGATCCTAATGAACTTGAATCACAGCCAGCCATGGAGGATGGCGTCGACGCAGAGCTGGAAGATGATGATGACTCTGAAGGCGCTGGTGAGGATGCAGCTTCTTTGGCTTTGGAGGATGGAAATGTGGATGAGTGCTCTAAAGCCATTTCAATCTCTGAGGATGAAATGGCCATTCCTGCTTCCACTGAGGCCATTGCTGGTTTTACCCCTTCCGAAGCTGAGAGATGTCTCATGGAAGCTGATGCTGCTATTGCCAGCTTGGATGCGGAGGAAGCAGCATACAGCCAGGCTTTCCTCATGGCTCAGGACTCGAGCGTGGCGGCTGATCACATGACTGCAGTGTATGAAAGCTCCAACAAGTCATCAAGTGCTCCTCACGCATGTGAGAGCGTGAAGGTTGGTGTCAACCAAGGGCAACCTTGTGAGGGGGCAGAAAATGGTGAAGAGCATGTTGACCCTGCTCCTGCTCTAGCAGCCGTGAGTGTAGTGGAGCCTTCAACTTGTGCCTCGGCTTCCAGCAGCGTGGATCCTCATCAGCGTGGAATTGACATTTATGTCGATGCGCAGAAGGAGATAGCGAAGCTGGAAGCTGAGCTAGTCCATCTACGCCGACGCCAAGCATCTAAGACGCTTGGGTTGAGAATGAAAGATGCCTTTCTTCTGTTGATGTTTTTGCTAGATTCTTCAAGACACATTTTTCTGAGCATGCTGTGGGGATCAACCCCGGGAAGGCTTTCGAGTCATTGAATGCTGCAGAGCCCATTCTGGTCCAGGACAGTCTTCCCTTTGGGTCAGATAACATGGACACCTTTCCTCTTCAAGCTGGTGAGTTTGAGTCCTTGGCCGACCGCTTCAATGAACCGATCCCAGAGGAGCCAAATTTGGAGGGCGTAGAGCCCCCTGTACTTCTTCTGCATTTATATGATATTGGTTTACACCACTTTGGTGTCATTGGTGGCAATGTTTTTCTGGTGCCAAACTAAAAAATGCTTCGAGCTCCTCAAAGACTTGTGGTTTGACCAGCATTTTTGATCAGCTTCTTTGCACATGGGTTGAGAGAACCCGGACTTTGTTGCCAAGGTCCTGCGTCGAATGCAGTTGGGGCTGAAGAGGGCTTCGGCTGATGGAGGTGAGTGCGAAGATGGGCAAAAGCCTGCAAAGATGCCGAGGGGCAAGGCGAAGGCCAAGGCAAAAGGCCAGGCAAAGCCCAAGGCTTCGCCAAAGGGCAAGCAGAGAAAGTCTGCAAAGGCAAAGGCTTCGCCAAAGCTCAAGGTGAAGCGTGCGCGGCAAACCAAGTCTTTGCTGGAGAAATTTGACGAAGCTGCCGACGAAGGTCCTGAGCAAGCATCCGCTTCCGTCCCGCCTGCAGGTCTTGGGCATGAGATCGGGAAGCCTGCTGATGCGGCTGCACATGAAGAAAGCCCACCTTCTACAGCGAAAGTTGCTCGCTGTCGGGCCCCAAAGGGTGAGAAGTCCGAGAACAAGAGTGAGGCTGTGAAGCCTGGCCGCTGCAAGAGGCAGAGTAAGAATCAGGAGGACTTGATGGAGAAGCCCAAGGAGACGGATCAGGACAAGGGCGATGGTGCCAAGCACAAATGCTTCGCGAAGCGCAAGCGCCCCTCCACTTGCTTTGGCCAAAAGCGATGGGATGCGAAGCGGGCTGCGTTTCACCACCATGTGAAACCGCAATTGGTGGCCTACAGTGTGGCCTACAGTGCTCACGAGGACTACCTTGAACTTGGCAGTAGTTTTCTTGACCACACTTCACAATTGAACGGTCCCTGTCATTTGCACAGCTTTTCTTGGCCACGTATCACTATTCAATGGCGCCTGTCATTTGCACAGCATTCTTGGCCACGCTTCACACTTTAACGGCCTCTGTCATTTTCACACGGTGTGTATATAACTGCTAAATAACAATCAGTATGCAGGCATGATATACAAAACGTGCTGCCCTGTGCATGCCACCTATTATAGCTATTGCCCATGCATACAATTGCCTATTATGTTGGAAAACCATGTTGCATTAGTATGGACCGATCCCAGTCACTGCACTTAACTCCCACCATGTTGAAACAACTGATCAATGAACAATTGATCATTGGGTAGTTAGTGCGAAAGCTCAGGGCTGACATTGTTGCGTGTGGTTGGTTTGTAAAGGGGTTGCAAAGGGACCGGTGCAAAGCAATATGCAACATGCTAGTGCTAGTGATACTCGGTCAAACTACAAAAGTATCCTGAAGGTTTCATCACTGAAACGTGTCATGACCAGAGCGTGTCTGCAGGATTACTTCTGGACCTTTTGCAGTAAGCTGTGGGCCTCCAAGGACATCAACGATGGCAACATTGAGGCTGAGGCGGTGGCTGGGGCCAAAGCTTACGTGGAGCAGCTTCGACAGACCGGCATTTTGTCAGCCTGAAGCTGTGGAGATTGCAGGGCTAGGGTGGAGGCAGCAAAGAGCATAACCCGGACAAATTTATAACAAAATCCTTGGCTAGCCGCTTTTTAGCCGCAGGCCTCCAAAAGGCAAACAAGAGTACACGTACCAAGCGTTCTGGTTTCCAAATTAACCGTGTGGATTGTTGAATCTTTTTGAAATTGGATGGATGCCTGATATGCCTTGCCTTGCCATCTCTTTTTCAATCTGGCCAAATACATGGCCATTGTGTCTCCTGAAGCGGGGATGCATCTAGGTTGCTTCTA